AGAAACTATAGAATTAACATTTCAAGCAAAGTGTTGTGGGAAAACTACACTAAGGCTGTACAGAAAAAAGACTCATTATTTACAGTAGGCACAGACCGTGGATCATTCACACAGCAAAGCAGGAAATTTCATCAGGTACACACACACATCTGCAGTGAATCTGCCTCAGACATACAGCTAAAGAAAAAATTAGCCCTCTCCTACTCTGCTATGAACTGAAATTTAAAACAAGAGAAAAATCAGACTTTTAACATCTTCTGGGTACTGTAAAGCAATGTCACACAGCCACTGCCTCCCAGCAAATTAGGGACTCCTAGAGCTGTGAAAACAGGTAAAAAGAAATGCAGAGATTGGAGGAAGAAGTTTATTACAATCAGTTCTTTTTCTCAAACAGAAAATCCAGATCTGACATGTCTTACATGCACTACTTTGCTAGAACTGTCTTCCAAAACACAAATTTCTATTTCATCCTCGGACTTTAAATCCACAGCTATTCCTTGGCTGGTAAACACAGAATGACTGACTGGGAGTCCCAAAGTATATGCAACCCTAGACACTTATGAGTGCTGCAACAGTGGTATTTGCTTGAAATAAGAGGATGCCTCACCTGTAACAGATGACATTATCTGTTTATAGATGTTATGGATCAATACTAATCTTTCAAATGAAGAGTTGATGCCTTTCCATAATATACTCACTCACAGGGTTTACAGTAGTGACTACTGGCAGACTGTGTGGCCTGCATTATGCAACAGTGCAGACATGGCCAGAGCCATCTCCCTGGCCTCAAAATTACTGAAATGCTGGTAACTACACTCAGAAATATTTGGAAAATGGTGATGCAAAAGAGAGAAGACTGGTGCTTGGGAGCACGCCGAAACTTTAACAAGCCGCTAAAAATCATCTTTAGTATGTTTTAGTCCCACATTTCCATAGGGGTTAGGCCTAGGAGACACACACAGATTTGTTTAGAGACTGTTTGTTCTAGCTAAATTGTTTCCAGGATCCAGTTAGAAGTATTTGAAAAACTGTTTCATGAGCTAAGAATAGAAAGTAACCTAAGCAATTACAATAAGGAACATTTTTTTCAGGACAGCTCTGGACACTCCCGTCTTCATCTGGCCACTTGCTTCAGGAATTAGTCATACCTGGCCTCTCAACTGTAGTCCCACACCAGGATTTATCACAGCACACTAAAAAAAGTCTGACTGTTAATAATGAATTTTGGCTTGTGGACAGTAGTTGATTTTACACATTCAGTTGTAGCTGCCAAATATTAAGAAGATAATACAGAAATATAATACATAGTTATTATATGTAATGCAGCACTATTAACATACCTGTTACTTACTGTAAGTAGACATAACAAAAATATTACACATGAAAAATAAAAACCTTCCTGCAATTTCCATTCTTCTTGCAAATGAAAAGTATATTTGCTTTTCTTAACTCCCATATAGCTTTCACCACATTTTAGTCTCTGCTTATTCACTTGCCATGTACCATAACTGAGTCTTTTAAACGACCTCGTTGTATTTTCATCTTCAGAGCTCTCTCCTAATAACCTAAAGGCCTCAGCAAAACTGTGACTAGGCAAACTCCTTCTCTTCTGTCAATGGACACCTCTGGCTGTGCCTGAAGGTTTTACTTTTCTTGTAAGCTGTTTGTGGTTGGCCTTCATATTCTGATGTCCAAGCTAGAACCACTGAAATCCACCACATCCAACTGACTTAAAATATTTTTAAATCCCACTTTGATCCCTCATCGTATTTAAGCTTTCAAATACCTTTGGACAATTTGAACAGGAGTATTTTCATCCTAACTAACTGCAAATCCTCACAGAAACATGCAAAAATTAAAAAAGGAAACTTTCTTCAAATAGTGCTCCTGTAAAGCTTTACCTGAGAATTTACTGTTTATATGTGATCATTTTACACTTCCAGCAAGATCAATATCAGCTGTGGAGGCTAAAACTCTCATATTGGTTTGTGGTACCAGCTGCCACACACAGAAGCCTCGTCTGTTCAAAATCAGTAAAAAGGCTGCTTTTTAAAGAACACGAGTTTGTTAAGAATGTCAGAGATGTCAGAAAATCTTACAGTTTAATTAAGTTACAGCAAATTGGAGTCACTGCAAATTCTCTCGCTAATGTTTGGCCAAACAGTGAAGCACTACAGATAATTCCTATTTACAATCCCATAACGAAAGGACATCCATTTATACTAAAGAACTAAAACTCCTCCATAGAACAAGGAATTTAGAAGATTAACAGATTTCCATTAACTGTTACATTTCAATATAAGTTACAAAGATTTCTTTCTAAAAAGAGAGAAAAAGTGCCACGCAGAAACTACTGCATGAAGAAACAGTTTATTTTATACCAAACTTACAGTTTTAACCCACTATCTGACCCAGGCTGATTAATTGTTACTGCTGGAGGCTAGATATAAAATCAGCACAAACTTAATACTACCATGTTTAAGCATCTGAATTTTAAGTGGCTAGATATACCAGTTTTTCATTAATTTGTCAGATTACTCCAAAGTAAGAAGTGTTTTCTGTCCCATCTCTCAGGGCTCCTCCAATAAGCTGGAATAAATTAGCCTCTATGTGTCCCTGCCCAAAGTAGGGGGTTGGAATTCAAAGATCTTTACAGTCACTTCCAAACCAGGCCTTTCTGTGATTCTATATGTTTCTTATAGAATGCATGACATCAAATAACAATGTGTATTCTCAAAAGAGTCAAAATCTTAAAAGTAGATGCACATTTGCAGCTTCTTCAGCACAATGAACCCCTATGATAAGTTTGTAATCAGACTTCTAATGCTTGATTAATCCTTGATTCAGAAGATAAATTTCAAAACAAATTCCTCCTGCTACTCTCTCCTAAAGTAGAACTTGAAACATTAAAAAAAAAAAAAAAGTTTTTTTAGAAAATTAGGATTATGTAAAAATTTAAGACTTTTCTTCTGTAAGAGCCTTGAATTCTTCTGCTACTGCTTTTGAGGAAATGTGCAAAGCCTCAGACTGACCAAACTTCTTCAGAAAAATTTTCTTGTACAGGGAATGAAAACGACACCAAATGGTGAGCACAACTGGAAAGGATAAAATCAAGGTGAATTCTTAACTTTAATAAAGTCAGGAAAACTCAGAGATTTCAGTCATCACCAAACCTTGAAAAATTCTTGCACCAAAATATGTAAATAATTGAAGGAATTTTAGCAGAAATCTTGCAAAAAGCTGCCTGTTTTTTCTCCTGCATTAATAAAGTCATAGACTAATATTTAAGCTCCTATAGTTACTTTTCACTGCTGCAAGTAGTCCCATTAGTTGAAGTCACTTAACAATTCAAACAACATATCAGCAAAAAAGTCTTGTGATTATAAAACAATTGCAATGAAGATAAATGGAGCAAAATTACAGTGTTTCCTTCAAAATAAATAAGTCTTGTACCTAGATGAGTTATAAAATTAAATTTGTTGCCCCATAACATACAGATATTTATTAAATAAATTTAGCAGTGCCAGCACTGCAAGGATTTTCTTTTTATTTGTATATACACACTTCTCTGTCAGATTTGACTGCAATTTCTTCAAGCTGATTTAGAAGAGCTAACACTCTATTGCTCTTCCCCACAGCTGGAGAGAACTGCATGAGTGCATCTTTCACTCCAGTGCCATAGGATTTAAGAATCTACCTTTCAACAGATTCCAAGATTTTAAAGTCATCAAAGTGTGCAAATAAATGTACTAAGAAGGAATAGCATCTAAATTGAAAATATGCTGTCAGATTATGAAACATTATCAACAGGTGGGGCATTTCAACACAGGTTGGTGCTAAGGGAGTTATGGGGAACTGCAGGAACACAGCACTGCACTCCAACATTGCATTATCTGTCGAGTCTGTTGGTGATCAGCTAGTTAAAGTCTTGCATAACATGACAGGACACTAAGCAGGACCAATGACCCTACGAGAACATATCTGGGGATCAATGACACTGTAAGAAGTGTGATGACAGCTGGTTTGGGGCTACTCTGCCTCCACAGCAGCCTCCAGAAACAGCAGCAGCACAGTTTCAAATGTAGGAAAATGTTCTGCTTCAGGCTAGCTCGTACCATACCAGCTCCAGTTCACTCGAGTCTTGTTTTCTGAAGTGCTGAACACCTGCAGTTTCCTCTGATTTCAGCTGGTGTAGAGTGTACTCAGAGCTTCTGAAAACCAGGCATTATGCATGAGCAGATATAGTCTTAAGAAACAGATAGTCCACAAACCCAAAAATGCCACCAATTTCACAAACCCTGTAAGTTGTCTCCAGATCAGAATTTGAGGTGTGCAGCTTTATAGAGAGATGTTTAAATATCTCCAGTAACTACGGAACAGGAAAGAGATTAGAGAATAATAATGCCACCCTCATTACTGTCAGTCTTGCTGTATCTTAGACATCCAAACAGAATGGGTGGTGCTCACTCTCTCCATGCTAGCTGGCAGGCAAAGAAACATATGACAGCAGGTTCAATAGGACAAATCATTTTAAATTTGGATAGGGCAATTTCACATGAGGTGAATTTCTGAAACAGTGTAATCTAACTGAAAAAAGGGGAATCAGAGGAGGGAACTGCATTGCTGTCAAGAGAGAGAACAGCATGATTCTAAAAGCATTATTGCTTTAGTGGTTTCACAGAAAAGAAATTACTTGGGGAACGTTTGCTTAAAAGGCACAGAAATACAGATTAAATTTAAACACAACTGTCTGAGGTAACACAACAGCAGCAAGTATTAAATAGCCCATTGGTTAGTTTTCATTAAAATGGATTATTTTGCACACTGTTTGAGTTAAGAGCTGGGTGTCTCTGTGTGCACATGTCCTTACTGCAGGGCTTAAGAGCTACAGCTTAGCCCTCTGCAAGTGGCAACAAAATACAGAAGGTTTTCTATTTTCTGGAACAGAAATATTTTATATGCATCAGGGGAGAACTATTAAAACCAGAAGTAGCTCTTACATGATAAATTCTGTCAGGTTGCACCACTTTTTTGAGTCCACTTTCTTCATCATCTCTTCAAAGAATTTCCCACAGGCAGGCAACTTTTCTAACATGAGAGATTCATTGCAGAGCTCAGTCTGTTGACGTGCACCTAGGAAACATCAGAAGCACTTTAATCACAAATACTGAAATAGAAGCACAAACACATCACTCAAATTTGTTCACACAGTCCAACTTGCCACTTACATTCTCATAAGATTAGCATTTAATTTTTTAAGCAATTTTAGAAAATAGACAAAATAAATATTTACATAAATACATTAAAAACATAACTTGATATAAAAAACTAAAGGTTATCATATATAGTACTGCCTTTTAAACCTAGCATAGAGGAACCTATCTAATCACTTTTCTAATCTTACTTAGCTACTACTCATACTAACTTGTTACCACTCATTTGCATTTTTAGTCAAAAGCTAACTGGATCTCCCAATCTCACATCTCAGTGTAGAAAGCACTTTTCAAGCTTACACAGATGCAGTGCATTCAATTAACTATATTACTGTGAAATTACTTTAACATTGAAAATATTTGTATGTCTTACCAGCTAAAGGGTGTGAATTTCCACAGTCACAGCTTTTTCTTTAGTATAGCCACTAAAGGAGTTCTAGAGAACAAGTCCCATGAGGAGTGGCTGAGGGAGCTGGGGTTGTTTAGGGTAAAGAAAAGGAGGCTCAAGGGAGAGACTTTATTGCTCTCCACAACTGCCTGAAACGAGGCTGCAGCCAGGCAGAGTTTGGTCTCAAACAAGCAACAGAACAGCCCAAAGTTGTGCCAGTGGAGGTTTAGACTGGATATAAGGAAAAATTTCTTCACCAAAAGGGGTGGAACAGGCTACCCAGGGAGGTGGTTGAGCCACCACCCCGGAAGTATTTAAAAGGTGTGTAGATGTGGGACTTAGGGACAAATTTTAGTGGTGGACTTGGCAGTGTTGGAGTAACAGTTGGATGCAGCAATCATAGAGGTCTTTTCCAACAGAAACAATTCTATAATTCGATGAATTATCTACAATTATCAAATGAAACTGAACTTACGGCATATAGCTACTTGCAAAGAAAGAGTTAATGTTGACTTGAGCAAGCCTGTATCTTTTTCAAACTATAATGGCAACTTCAGTATATTTAATCAGTCAAACGTTTTTCTCATCCAGCACATGCTTGTGCTTTAACTCCAGCTATCACAGCTGACTCCTCAGCTGGTGGTCACTCTCTCCATGATGTTGTATGACAAATGACAACCAAATAAACACTTTGTTTTCACATATTTGCCAAGAGCAGCAGGCCCATAACGGGACAGCCTGTGCTGAACCTGAAACCATAAGTCTACAACTTCCTGCAGACCACAAACCTCTCCAAGTGTACAGCTCGCTCACTGGGACCCAACCCTTGGTCCTTCATCACGTCTGACTTTCAGTGCTCTCAAAGCTGTCATGAAACCTTCATCCGTGTTGGGAAAAAGTCAGAACTATAATTAAACACCAGTGATAGAAATGGCAAAAATTACCACACCGGGGCAGCACAATTTTATCCACAGGATGTTAGCATGATATCATGGACCCTGCCTACTGAAGTGCTCCTGTCAATTTATCTGGCAGCTGCAGCAGTTACCAGTTACACTTTCCACAACTAGACCTGCAGATGAATGCTAAAACCTGCAGAATTCAAAACCACATCAAAATTGCATAGCTCACGACTTAAATCCTGCACTGATGCTTTGACAAAAGTTACACAAAGCTGCTTTTCCTGGCAGGGTAATCTAAACAGCCAGCTATCATTTGATTTATAACCAAATCCAACAGAGTACAAGTTTTTCTTCCACTACGTCACATGTGCTGTCAATTTACTCCAGCCCCTTCCCAGCAGGGTGTTTGAAAGGATTTTCCATGCCCCTGAAATTCTGTTGGTTATCTCTATTTAAAACTGAAATATTTTGCAGGGTCATAGGAGAAAAAAGAAACAAATCTATATCAGAGTCATTTGAACAGTCTGATGACACAAGAGTTTCCGTCTAAATCCCTGACCAAAAGAGTTCAAAATCATGGATAATTCTGCAGTTTCACTGCCACAATTGAGAACGACCTTTACAAAACACTACAACACTCTCTTTGCATACAGCCAATGGACAAGACCAGCTGTAAAAAATGCATGACAGTGGACTAATTGAGATGAGATAGGATGGAAGTGTTTCTCAAAAGTCAACCATTAGCAAAACAGAAACAGAAGTTTGAATTTTTGAAGCAAGACTCACCTGCAAATCCAAGCGTCATTAGACCATTAACTAGGAAGAGAAAAAAAAAGAAGAGATGAGTTAGATGCTTACATACTCTTATATAAAAGAATTAGTGCAATTACAAGCCAAGTAGAGGATAACTGCGTTTCAACAGAATATTCAAAATGCTTATTCAAACAATAGTTTCAGTTTTCTTAAAGAGTGTGTCTAAATGAAATAATGAGCATTTGGAGAACATTATGTTTTTAAATTTCTTTTCATCTATCCTTTAAATGTCTGAGTCAGACTTCTTATGGGTCTGTATATACCACTCCTTCCTCTAGTTTCTAATATTAAGGATCAGGGACAGGGCAATTTTTACTTCAAGCTTCTTAAGGGTGAAAAAGTTCAAAAAGATAACACACTCAAAGCATAGGTGTACTGCACATTCTAACATGTAGAGAAAAAAAATCCTTTAGTTGTTAAGCAAATACAACCACAAGTGTGTACTCTCTTCATTAAAAGCATATTGCTGTGTTAAAGTCTCCAACTTTTGCACAGTGAAGTCACACATTTTGAAAAACATTACAATCAAAATCGATAAGTCTCTTTTGCAGAAGTTATGCTAACATGGGTATGTCAGAAGAGCATCCAAATGGAAAGAGACTGCACCAACAGAAGAAGCCTTCTGATTAGTGATTTGCTGTATATCCAGATGGATTAAATTAACAGAAGCCCACTGTGTTTGCACAGCTCCAGCCACACCCAGGATATTGTAATAGCTAAGGGGGACATGGCTTCAATTATTTTTGATGTCCCAATGAAGAATAAAAATTGGTGACAAATCTTTATAGTGTTAACCTCTCATCAGAAATTAAATGAATTATTTCACACAGATGGGTGCTTCCCTGTTTGTACAATACATGGCACCAATAAAACGAATCAAGATATATGTAGCAGAGTATCAGCACCAATCATTAATCTAGGCCATGGTCACTGGGATGTGCCAAGCTGTCAACTGAGTTAACTGAAAATTATTGGGTACATGCATGCAAGAAGAATTTAGATCCTTCTAAGGAACGTATTTTTCTTCCAGAAAATATCTGTCTTAGTTACTAACGAGCCAGAATGTACTGTGAGGAGCAGGAATCCACACATTGGAAAATTGTCATGCATCCAAACACACAGAGATGAAACTCCATAATACACTCTGATGGCTGTACCTCTTTCACTAATAGAGCACTTTTCTTTCCAGGCCATTAGCAGATGGACTAATAAATACACTTCATTCCCTGGGTGGGTTTTCCTGAATCCTCATTTAAAAATGTTCCTTATTGACTGCAGAAGGCTGAAGATCACACTGAAAGCACATGTTTTAGGATGAAGCCAAACCACCCATTCTGGGTAAACAGTGTAGGACACACATAGATACCCCAAGTACTCCTGTGGAAGATCACAGACTGCACCTCCAATTCTTTTTCTATCAGTTCCTATCACTGTGCTCTGTATCTTTTGTAGTTATGGCTGCAGTAATCCTCACAAGACCACAGTAATGCAAATAAAGAGAGAATTTACAACGAGAAAGAACCAGTCTGCCCCAAGCATCAGTGAGGAAAGCTGTGAAAAGCCAAATACTGAATAAAGGCTTTGCTCACAAATCCTCCTGCCCACAAGAAAATATGCTTTGTGCGTCTTTTTTATCTGCTCCTAACAAAGTAACACAGGACGTTTTTCACCTATTCTCAACCAAAGGAGTCTGGATACCTTCAGAAAAGGGTAAAACAGCCATTCAGATTACCATGAACCACCTCTCTTATTTTCTTTGCTCTGAGACACTCAAGTCATAATAAAGATTTAATCAGGATGCTACAGCATGCTGGTCATGATAGTGTACACAAAAATGTTCTAGTAGCACTTTTAAGATGGGGCAAGCTCAGCTTTTTTCTTGAAAGGCTGATGCCATGAAATCTCTCATTAGAAGATTCATAAAAGAAGCAAAATGGGTCAGTGTTGAAAGGTGTTACCAAGACCCCAAAATAAAACAGTTGGCATAAACTCTCACCTAAACTAACATTCAGGGAGAGAAAAGGAGGTTCAGTTTGACTGTACTAGCTACCTGAACTAGCTGCTCACTTTTTTTTTCTCCATACATAGTAGCAGCATGGTGATCATCCCTAGCATCAGCTGAATTAGATGGGAAGGGAACAACCAGGTTAGAGGCAGAGCAAAACAAAGGATCATCAAGTGAAGGATGAGGAAAAATAGATTTGAAGGGCTTTTAGAAAGAAAAAGAGAAGATACACAAAGCAGGAGAGAGTAATGGAAAATAAGAAAACGGGAAAAAAACACATTTTTTTTATTCACAACCTTCTTCAAGATCTTGTATATGAAAAATCTCATCCTAGACCTTCACTAGAACCTGCTGTTATCTGCTCTCTACCCTCCTTTTCCAAAAAGACATAATTCTGACACTAAAAAGCAAGTTCAAAATGAGATTCACAGCCATATGTAATTTCACAACTGGGATACATGACAGGATAACTGTCCTGAAGTTTTGTCAAGTATATAAGCTTTTTCTGTGGAATGGAAAAATATTTCCAAATGTTTATTTTTCTTCTATACTGTTATTATTCACTGATATTTTTCCCAGAGGCTTGAAAGAAGGACTGAATGTCTGTCTTGAAACTACTTCAATAAATCTGAAGCAGCATATGAATTGCTATGTGTTCTCCCTGCTCCACCTTTCTCCAAACATGTTTTAAGCACAATTCTGAAAATCTTGTGTAAATATATGAGTGAAATGTTACATTCTTCTCTTCTCTGAATGCTTTTTAAGGTGCTATTACTGACAGTATAGTAAGATATTTTGAGTGGCTCCCATACTTTCTCAGAAAAATTCTTATTTTAACAGATAAAATTGCTGTATGCACCTTTTAGCAAGCAATTTCAGCAGTTTAATACTCTGCATATTCTTCAAAATTTGTGACGTTTATTCAAAACCTCATGTTTATCAATCATAATGTTCATAAGCAAAAAGAATATAAGTTAAACCTCATGTCAAGAGCCTACCTCTGTATCTCTTTTTAAAGGCATTCCTGCCAATTACCATCTAATCTTTATCTACATCAGGATGGATCTCCATGGCAAGTTATGTACTAACCAAACAGATGCCTCTCTGCAGAACTTGAAGTTTTACTGATAGCAGCTCGTAACTGTGCAAGTACTGTCCTGACATACAGCTCACTAAAGCAAGTAAAACCAGAGTTTGAAACGGGAACTGCTGCTCTACAACGATGCACATTTGATTTGTTGGAAACATAGGTGAGAGATTAGTACTTTATTATTAATATAATCTATATATATATATGCATAATTTTGTCATACTGATCAAATGTCAACACCCACACTTTCTTATAAACCTGTTTTTAAATACTGAATAAGCCAGTCTTACAGCAGTTTAAGGTTTCTCCAGGTATTTAAATATTGAATAAAGCTACCTGTTGCACAGGTACTACTGAAGATCATGTTAAAAATTCAACAATCTTTTATGCAAACCCCAAGTCATATCATTACAGGCACTCTAGCAGGAATGCACAGACACTTCAGGGTATCTAATGCAAAAGAAATTCCCTGTGGAAATTACTTCTCCTATGCTCCCACACAATGTCAGGAGGCATCCTACTACATAAAAAAACACTGGTTACAAATTGGCATAGGGTTTTCTTATTATCTGTTTCCTGGGCATTCATAATTTTAAGAGATTCGTTTCACTGGGTCTGTCCCAATACAGAAGGACAAGATGAGCTAACATGAGAGTTACATGGTTGCCTCCCAAAGCCTTTTCTAAAACTCCTCTTTTTGGGTCAAGTCAAATGTGCATGGCCAAAACACGACACACTCTGAATAGGCTAAGAAATCCTACAATTTGATGGGAAAGCCCAGAGGAAACTATAAAAGTGAAGGAAAGGAAAAATAATGCTATTGGTACATAAACTAAACCACCTGTCACTCTTTAAATAACTCTCTGCACAAAATACATGGCTCAGAAGGTCATCTTTTGTTTTCAGCTACCAACTGTCCTTTTGACACTTCTTCTTAAGAGGAGTGGGATGGGGAGAGGGGGACAGGGACAGGACACAAGAACAACATGACATAGTATGAAAGCAACCAAGGAAATGAGGCAACTGGAGTTCAGAGTCAGGCAATGACAGGAACTCAACACAAAGGAAGGATGCCAGGAATAAACAGAAGCTTGCAATAAATATAGTACTTGAAAGAAATGTTACACTTGCATTCAAAATTGGCCCAGAAAAAAAATGTGTCTCAGCGTATGGAGAGGCAGGAGCAAGGTAAACCTGTTGGCAGGGTGAACTGACCTGTCTCTGGGTTCAAGAAGTTTTCCTGAGAGCTAGCAGGACATGGAACTCAGCTTTGCATTATCTCCTGCTTTGCTGAATCCTTTTTAATGCTCTTTTTAATTTCCTTGTGTCAATTGTACGGAAGATGCATATATAGCCATAAAACTATAATATTCAAAATTAAAACAGCAGCTCAATGCTTACTTTATCACAGTTTGAGGCACTACATTATTGTTTTTTAATTGTGGAGGTAATTTCAGACTGTTAACTATTTTGGACATTAGGGTCTTCTTCCTGCAGAGGAAGAAAAGCATGAAAGGAAGTAAATTAAGCCTTTTTATTTCATCTGTAGAAATCAACAGGGATGTCTGAGGGCATCAGCTGTTCCAACCCACGTTGGTATAAAGCTCCCCAGCTTTCCAGTGGCTGCTGGAAATGTGGAAATGAAAGGAAATGTGACCATTATTCCGAGTTCATGCTTCAACTGAGACTATTTCAGAGTAGCAATACCAATTATTGTCTTTTACATTGTTTTTTGAACTTCTTAAATCACTGCTGGCAGCATTATTAATAATGAGCAGTCATTTCTGAACAGTTTGTCTACTTCCAGAAGTGTTGGATGGGTTTTCTACTCCTTAGAAATATTTTATTAAAAATACTTGTTATATATTTATTTAAATAGAATATACCACTTTCATTCTCTATTAATAA